AAAAAAAAAAAAGAGAGAAAGAGAGAAAGAGAGAGGGTATCTTATTTTGTTGCCCAGGCAGGTCTCAAACTCCTGGCCTCAAGCCATCCTCCCACCTCAGCCTCCCAAAGTGCTGGGATTATAGGTATAAGCCACCTCATCTATCCTACAATTAATTTCATTTTCCATATACTAAACATATATAAATGGTTCAAGGTTTTTATTGTAATATTAATGACATTAAAAACAGAAATAATACCTAACATTTAACAGGTGCTTAGTTAGTGGCCTGTTCCTATCTCTGCTCAAATACAGCATCTTTTTGAATCCCCAAGACAATTTTAAGGGAAGATTACTGAATCATGTTCATTTTGTGGGTAAGCGATCTGTTAAGTCTGACCTTCAAGAAACCCAGGACCCTGAACTCTCCACCACTACATTTTCTGGCAGAGACCCCAGGGAAACCACCCACCATGCCAGGCAGTACTGAGTTTTTCCTTAAGGCGAGGGCAGGGCAGCGCCTGTGGCTCAAAGGGGTAGGCACCAGCCCCATGTGCCGGAGGTGGCAGGTTCAAACCCAGCCCCAGCCAAAAAAAAAGAAGATGAGGGCAGTATATGATGTCTGGGAACTGATGAGCTTTGCCCTCCAGATGGAGGCAGCTTTATCTCTTACCCCAGAGGTCATAGTCATCTCCACCAGGCTTAAGCTGCGTAGGGAAGAAGGCCCATCTGTTTTACAGACAGGAAAGCGAACATTCAAGTTACTCAGAGACTCTCTCAAAGAGGAGAGAGAAAGAAAGAGATGAGAAACCAACTCCAGGACTTCCACTTCTTATTTGTGACATCAGACATCCAGAGGCTGAACCTAGTGAACAAGCCACATCCCAGACTCCAGGCAGTTCTGTATGTTGTAGCTTGCCAGATAGTGTCAACATCACCTCTATTGTCACTCTTTGCACCCACATGACTAACAGGAGCTTGTTCTGTATGAATCTTTATTTTTAAACTGGGTTCACAGTAATTCACAGCTCATGGATTGCAAGAAACACTCCTACAAGAGAACCTGCAAAATAAGGATGGCAGTGAACTCTACAGAAAAACATTTGAGGACCAAGGAGTGCATGGTGCCCTCCTAAATGAGGCCCAGGACTGGCTGTGGCCACTTCCAGGGCTAGCTCCTCAAGAAGGATCCTTTCTGCCATTTTGGGGGACCCTATTCAGACTGGGAAACCAATGGATAATGCTAATCCTAATTTATTCATTAATTAGGCCAAGGTGAGCTCCTCCGCCCCACAGGTGTGAAGCCTCACTCCGGCTGCTGCATGATCATGGTCAATATAAAAGTTAGCAGTGTGCCTACACACCAGCAGCAAACAACTGAAACTCAAATTTTATTTTTTAAAACTCCATTTATATTCACATAAAAAAACATGAAATGCTTGACAATAAAGAAACTACAATAAAACAAACGAAAGAAAACTTAAGAAAATCTTCATAAATAAAGAGATATCTCTTGGGGGCAGTGCCTACGGCTCAATGACTAGGGCACCAGCCCCATATACCAAGAGTGGTAGGTTCGAACCTGGCCCCGGCCAAACTGCAACAAAAAAAAAAAAAAAAATAGCCGAGCGTTGTGGCGGGTGCCTATAGTCCCAGCTACCTGAGAGGCTGAGGCAAGAGAATTGCCTAACCCCAAGAGCTGGAGCACTCTACCATGGACAACAAAGTGAGACTCTGTCTCTAAAAAAACGAGAGATAGTTCTTGTTCATGGCCCAGAACTGATTTATAGGTTCAATGATTTCAAATTGATTTATAGGTTCAATGCACTCTCAAACACCCCAGCAGACACATGTTTTTGTAGAAATGACAAGCTGATTCTAAAATTTATGTGGAAAGGCAAAGGACCCAGAATAATGAAAATAACACTGAAAAACAAGAACACACTAGGAAAACTTACCCTACCAGTTCAAGCATTAGCATAGGCTGGCTCTATAATCCTAGCACTCTAGGAGGCCAAGGTGGTAGACTGCCTGAGCTAACAGGTTCAAGACCCCATCTCTAAAAAGAATAGCCAGGAGTTTGTGGTGGGCGCCTGTAGTCCCAGCTACTTGGGAGGATGAGGCAAGAGAACTGCTTAAGCTCAAGAGTCTGAGGTAGCTGTGACACCACTACACTCTACCAAGGGTGACAAAGTGAGACTGTTTCAAAAAAAAAAAAAAAAAAGAAGACGACTTAGCATAAAGCTACAATAATCAAGACAATGTGATTTGGACATAATGACACACAAGTAAACTGACAACCAGAATAGATCCATGCAGCCAACAAAGATCCAAGAACCCAACTCTGTGGGACAACAAGATACATAAGACAGCATCTTCCTGAAGGGATAAGGTGACCCTACATGTAGGAGGACCAAATGACAACACACACAGTGCATTGGGCATACCATCCAATAGGCATGACTTTTTTTTTTTTTTGAGACAGTGTCTCACTACGTCACCCTTGGTAAAGTGCCATGCATCACAGCTCACACCAACCTCAAACTCTTGGGCTTAAGCAATTCTCTTGCCTCAGCCTCCCAAGTACCTGGGACTACAGGCACCTGCCACAACACCCAGTTATTTTGTTTCAGTTGTTATTGTTGTTTAGCTGGCCCGGGCTGGGTTTGAACCCACCAGCCTCAGTGTATGTGGCTGACACCATAACCTCTGTGCTATGGCACTGAGCCAGGCATGACATTTTAAGTTGACCTCATACTCCCAGTACTCTACCACAGCTTTCAGTTCTAGTTTAGGGCAAACTTATTCTTGTAGTCGCAGGGATTAAATCTGGAGTTGCAGGGTGGTGCCTGTGGCTCAGTGAGTAGGATGCAGGCCCCATATCCCGAGGGTGGTGGGTTCGAACCTGGCCCCGGCCAAACTGCAACAACAACAACAACAAAACAATAGCTGGGCATTGTGGTGGGCACCTCTAGTCCCAGCTACTTGTGAGGCTGAGGCAAGAGAATCACCTAAACCCAAGAGCTGGAGGTTGCTGTGAGCTATGACACCACAGCACTCTACCGAGGGTGACAAAGTAAGACTCTGTCTCTAAAAAAATAAAAATAAAAAATCTGGAGTTACCTTCTTAAATAGACTCCTCCCATTACCCAGCCATCAAGAAAGCCTCCTGGCTTGGCGCCTGTGGCTCAAGTGGCTAAGGCGCCAGCCACATACACCTAAGGTGGCGGGTTCGAATCCAGCCCGGCCCGCCAAACAACAATG